AAATTTACCCTAAAAACAGCAGAATTTTTCTGTAAGCTTAACACTTGTATTTTTTTTCTTTCCTATACCCACCTGCGTTGACATTTAGTCAATTCAAGCGTATTAAGGCAGATTTGTTGGCTACTCTTTCGAGTGCACCATAATAGGTGGGCCAACGTTGCTCCCACAGTAGGTACAGATATTACAGAGAATGAAGGAACATCCATGCCTTGCCCGGGATTCGAACCCAGAACCTTTTTGATTCGAGGGTAGTTCCCCTAGACAGTCTAGTCGGCACTTAACGCTTATATATCATGTGAAAAAACATTTCTTAACTGCCTTCGGAACATTTTTCAACAATGTTGTGATAAGTTAGTAGCAGTTGAATAACACCCGATTGTTTTATAACCAGTCATTCTTGAACAAAATTACTTTGATTCTTCTCCATTTTATCCTAGCTTTGCACTGCTTCAAAATAAAATTTTATTTTAAGGGGTGAAAAGAACGGAGGCAAGAATGGAATTACAGAGCAAAAAAACGAAATCACGCATTACAAGATTTTATTTAGTTGTATTTAAAAGAAACCGCATTAAATTGATTTTGATTAAATTTATTTGTCATAAGTAGAGCCTGGATTTTGATGACCTAAAAAATCTAAACTAATGCTTTTAAAAAGTGCAAAAAATGCCCTTAAAAAATGCCCTAAAATGCGAAAATTGCGCTAAAAATACCTTATGACATGATTTAAATAAAGTAAAAATATTGAGCTAAAACAATGTCTTATTCTTTAAAACTATTATGAGTCACTTCAAAAAATATAAAGCAATGCAATATTAGCTCTATGCTCATTAAAGTTTGAAAAATATGTTTTATATCCTAAAATAACAACAACAAAAAAGGAAAATATATTGACTCCAAAATATTTTTATTTTGCATCGAAACTTCAATGAATATAACAACTTCCATCTCATAATATTGCTAAATATCAGAATTACATTAGATTATTAAATGTTTTTTGATATTTTGAAATGTAAACGAGTCTCTCTTGTCTGAAAGTAAATTTTATACCTGGAGAAGCTTCTTTCAACGTCTACTGATGTTATTGGTGAGTACTTGAAAAAGGCGGTCTCACTTACTGACAGTTCTTCTTCAATTTGAAAAGATGTTGCTTCACCTGTAAATATCCTAGAGATTTTCTTCATTGTTTGGAAGTCAGTGTTCTTCTCCAAAACTTAGTTCAATTAACTGCTACACTTTGTCCTATCTTTCCCCTTGCTTTTTGCAACACTTGACGAACTACGTCAATATAATTTATTGCATCACAAAGTTCCGATTCTTGTTTCGCCAAGCTTGTAATTGTCGAAGACACAATAATAAAGTTAGACTTGATAAACGCTAATTTCCTTCGATTTTATCAGAGGCCAACATGTTCTGCGCTATCTTAATATGCAGCATCTTCTGAATCAAACTACTGACGATAGACTTCACTATTTTAAAATTTTCACTGTAGTATAAGCACGCATCCAACCAAATTACTTCTAAAGATTTTATATCTATCAATAACATTATAGAAAAAACATAATGGCATGCAGGCGGTATTGAGAGTTACAATATGAAATGTAAAATAATAAAACAAATCTTGCATTTCTGTAATAAAAATGCCCCAAAAAATAATCAAAATTGGAAAAATTGACAAAAAACTTAAATTCTTTAAAATGTATAATATGTCCTAAAATTTTAAAAAAATGCCCTTTAGATCTAAAAAAATGCTCTAAAGGGCAAAAAATTTCCAAAAATGCAAAAAAAAAGGCAAATGTCACCAAAATCCGGGCCTTAGTCATAAGTATAGAGTGTTTTAATGCTAGAGGAACAAACCTCTAAAACGGGTGAGGATTGACTGAAATACGCGGGATTACATAATGTAATCCCAACAAGATAGTTGATCTTTGATACTTAAGGCAAATTCTCCGCTGGCAAACCAAGCGAAGAAGTTTTTTAAAAAAAAAGAATCCATTTTAAATTCTAACAGACCAGTTGCTTAAAATAAGTCTCGACATCCCCGAATCTCGTATCTCGGGGATGGGGGTAAGGAGCTTCGTACTTCAGTAGCCAAGAAGCTGCACCATTTTATTTGTCCAATATTCAAAATACTTTCGATTTCAGATTAAATTTACTATGGATTCGTATTAAATTCTCTTATACTTCTGCGCATGAATGTCGACGAGGCATCTGCATTAGCTTCTAAAAAGCCTATGTCGTAATGGCCGCATTTACGACACCGAATTGCTATGTGATTCCGAATCCTCTAAATTTACTTCAACTGTTTTAATGCTTGTTTTAAATCACTCTAATTCTCTAGCGGGGAGTAGTTTCGCCGTTCCGTCAAACATTCTGTAGTGTGGAGATAGCGGGTTCGAATCCCCCACCATAACGTTAGATGTGTCTTTGTGATGTCTTGATCTAACTTATGCTATTTGTTCTTTAGCTTAATATGGATTTAAAAACCAATCTTTGTAATTAGCACACAAGCTTGCTATGTGTAGAAAATAAATAAATAAAAATTCATAAAATATAAAAAAAATCGCCTCATCGCGTAGCAATAAATAAAGAAAATTAAATAAGTAAATCACCAACAGATCAAATCAATTTCTTCAAAATCAATAGACCTCAACTGATCTAAATGCTGGTTTCAGATGTTAGTTTTTAAATCACCCTAAGGGTTTCTCTTGCCAAGCAGTCTCGCCTTTCCACCGAATGATCTGTATCGTAGTATCGTAGAAGTAGTTCGAATCTTATGGTAATCCTGGGTGCATCTTTGGAAAGTCTTTCTCTAACTTGTGCTACGTGTGTCCTTCAATTTGACAAAGGCTTTTAAGCCGTACTTTGCAATGAACACACAAGGTTGAATATGTATACCTAACATAAAATAAATAAATATAGCGATAGATATAAAATTTAGAGAAGAAGAATAAATTATAGTAAGATAATAAAGGTAGAATAATAAATAGTAGAAGAAGAATAGTAGAATAACAAATGGTAGAAGAATAATAGTAGAATAGCAAATAGTAGAAGAATAGTAGAATAATGAATTTGGCGCCCAGCTTGGTCACTGTTTAAGTCCCGCAGTGAACTGATCGTTAAGACACGGCTCCCAGCAGATTACCGAAGTCAAGCATCACTGGCTGCTGTCAGTGTGCGGGTGGGTGACCACTTGGATCAGTCTGCGTAGGGACCAAGGGTGTGCGGTATTGGTCCTCGTTAAACTGTTCTACCGTAAAAGGCTCGACTTCGCGTGCAGGTCGTCGGGCTACCGAAGCGGGGGTGCCATCCCCTCTGCAGAGGATCAAAATTGCGATGGCATATCTTCGGATCATCCTCAGGAATGTTTCCCAGACCGTCACCAATAGCCCATTGTGCAGCTCTAGTGCGACGTAAATTAACAACAACAACAACTGTTCAAAATTATCTAGTAGAATGCAGAAGGTTAAATAGTAACTAAGCCGAATGCATAGAACCGATTGTGTTAAAATATTCCAATGCTTAAGCTCCATCTCTAATCCTGACTTCTTAATTAGTTTTAATAATACGTAAATCAAATGTTTTCACTGTTTAGCTATTGTCCGTTTTTCCCCATACTGAAGTACTTTGATTTTAATTTTAACTCTTTTCAAGAGATGTCGGCAATATTGCCAAACTTCTTTATGTATTTAATTTTAGTAATACCATTATCCGGCAACCATTAAATCACACAAACTACCCTAAGTATCAGTTCGGGATATTTCAGCATAATAGGCAGCAAAAGTATTAAAATTATTTCCATCTCTGTCATTAAATAAGAAAAAAAAAATTATCCCAATGCTACATTAAGTGTTGCTCTACTTCCTCGAGTACCTATCGGGTTACAACTTGAGTAAAGTTTGCTATTTTCCGAAAAGGGGGTAAACTCAGTCGACCAATGAAAAAAAGGCAAGCTCAGTCATACCAATAGTTGGTATGGCAGTATGCAGCACCATAGTACCGTTTATGTTTAAAATTTCTACAACCATTTTAGAATGGATCAACAATAAATTTAAATAATTACTACATAACTGCACCGTTATTTCTATAAAAATGCAAAATTATCCTAAATAAATACTTAACGTATAACTAACTATTCAACACTTCTTAAATTATTACAATCTAGCAAAATGAATCTAAATAAATACTTAAAGGACTAATTTTAACACTATTTAAATTATTATTACATAACACGATTTAACACTATTTCAATTATTATTACTTAACACGATTTAACACTATTTCAATTATTATTACTTTAAATTATTATTATTATTATTGCCACAACACTATTAAATTTTTATTACTAACAAAATGAGCCGGCCAGGTGGCAGAGTGGTTAGCGCACCTGACTGTGAAGCCAATGGACGCAGGTTCGAATCCCGCTCTGGGCATGGATGTTTCTCTCTCTTGTGTTGTCCTCTGTTGTGTGTGATGAGTGAATGTGGACCAACCTATGAACGGGTTTGTGGCAGTGTGGCGTGGGCAATGTTACTCGCCTCCGTGACTTTGGTTCACAGGTACCCACTGGGTAAAGCGAAATGAGTAACAACTCTGGCATCATCTAAGGCGAAACGAATAAAGTTCAGTGCCTGCCATTCAAAAAAAAAATTAATAATAACTATAGTATTGCCAATAAATAGAGAAAGGGCCAAATTCAGGGTGAGAAATATATATAAAGATAATCAGTAATTATATGTCATAAATTTTATTAATATTTCAAAAATAACTAACAAATTCCCCATTTTCTCTATTTTTTTATTACTTTTAATTATTTTTTTTATAAATTATGACTCTTTAATGTTATGGTATTCAACAAAAGTAAAACGTTTTGTTTGTTTGTTTGTTTTATTAAAAAAAAGTTCGTTTAAAAGACAATATTTACGGAAAACAGAAAATTAGAAAAAAAAGAGCCTTAAACTTTAACCTAAATTTCAGTTTTAAATGACAGATTTCTATTGATATCATTTTTCTCACAAACAAATTTAAGATTTACTGATTCCCTCGATAACTTTACTCTATTTGCTCGGTAAATATTACTTATCTTAATCTTTATTTGTAGAGAAGTTTAAGTATTGGATAATCAGTTGGATCGGCGCGTGTAGACAAGATTCTGTTTTTCAGTTTTTGAGAAATCATATTCAGAAACTTTTACAACTTCGTTGAAGTAAGCAATCATGGCAATGGCTGAAACTCAAATGAATGAAAATGATATCAGAGAAGAAGCTTTTAAATTGTGTCGAGAATTTCTCGGTTCACCTTGGAATGAAATTGGATTGTCTGATTTTAAGTTTGCAGAAATGGGGTAAGGAAGTTATTGCTGTCATTCGTTTAATTGCTCAAATTTAAAAACATTTAATATAACAGTGCTTCCCAAACGGTGTTCCTTGACACTCTAAGACTCCGTGAATAAGCATTTTTTATAACCAGTGATGAGTTTTAAAAACTTTGAATATGTATAGACCCAACCTGTAATTCATAATTTATTTAATCTTACAGTTACCTTTATGAAAGTATTTCAAGAAAAATGCCAATGAAATATAAATGATATTTTTTGAAGGACAAAATAAAAAATTTTAATAACAATATATTGAACATATGACGTAAAATACAAGCATTTATAAAATATTCCCTTAATATTTCCTATAGAGCTTTTCAAATCGAAATAACTAAACTCTTTAATAAATTTATTCAATAAGGTATCCATAATAAACATTTTTTCACACATTTTCCCAAACAAACACGTTTATAGCATTTTTTTTAAGGTTTTCATCTCAAAGTTGACCATAATTCGAAATATTTTAATTCTTTTCTGATTACGTATATACACCAGAAACAAATTCATAACTATACTAAATATAGCGCAAGGACTGCAGATTTAAATTTCGGGCATAAGACCTAATTTAAGATAATTAATTATAAAACAGTGAAAAATCTTCATTTCTCTAACTAAATATTTTAAATAAAATCTTTTATATGTTATAATGTTCAAAATTACCTTAAACTTGATTTATAAAGTCGGGGTTCCGCTAAAAGAAGGTTGATTATTTAGGGTTCCATAGCCGAAAAAAATTGGAACTGCTGTACCAGAACACGAGTGTTTGCAAACTCCTTTAATAAGTTTGAATTTAATTTTTAACCCTAAATTGCTACTCACTCACTTGTATTGTATACTCAATACAAATTAATCTGTGGATTGTTATTAAATGTTAAAAAGAAATAAATAGGTAGAACAATTCTACTATTTTGCCACCATAACATTTAATACAAAATACATTTTGTAAATAAGCATTTATGTTTAAATTATCTGTGTAGCAAACGTGAATTTAAAAAAAAAACAGTTTTATTCATATTTATAGAAAAAAAATTGTACCTGATTGTCTCTGCGTCGAAGAAACAAGCATTATTTTTTTTTTTAAAATTTTGTGTAATTCATAAATTTTTGGTTAAACCGTATAAAGATAAGCACTGGTGGTTAAAATTCGTAACTATACTTCGAGATTATAATTCTTATTTATTTTTACATCTATGCTTTAAAAATGTGCCATCAATTATTTTTAAGTAAGTTGTATTATTTATTGTATTACTTCCGCCATTCGTCCAGCAGTGGACTGATCATTAAGACACGGTTCTCAGCAGATCACCGAAGTCAAGCATCACTGGCTACGGTCAGTGTGCGGGTGGGTGACCACTTGGATCAGTTTGCGTAGGGACCGAGGGTGTGCGGTATGGGTCCTCGTTAAACAGTGCAACCGTAAAGTGCTCGACTTCGCGTGCAGGTCGTCGGGCTACCGAAGCGGGGGTGCCATCCCCTCTGCAGAGGTTCAGAATTGTGATGGCATGTCTTCGGATCATCCTCAGGGATGTTTCCCAGACCATCGCCAATAGCCCATTGTGCAGCTCTAGTGTGGCGTAAATGATCTACTACTACTACTACTTCTGCCATTCAGTTTGTAAATTCAAGTTGAAAACATAAAAACTGAAGATAGAGCTCAAAACATAACAACCCACGTCGGATTATTGGCCACTCAATTAAGGCTTATAAACATTTGTCAAGCAGAAGAACAGATAACACAATACAGAGAAGGACAGCGAGTAGATACATCCAGGGTAACAGAGGGATTCGAACCAGCTACTATGTTTTGCACAGCATTCAACTGGTGATACCGCCTGGACAGGGAGGCCCCTTATATTACATAAAGTTTATATTTATGTGGTAATATTAATTTCCTTATCGATTTATTTTTAGTCGAATCGATACGAAAGATTATAAAATACAGAAAATCCTTATATGTGGTAAATTTACGTGCAAATTTAAATGCAAATATCAATGATAAATTTCCTAGAATATCAAACCGGTTCGTAAATGTAACACACGTGAATGGTTAAAACGAAAATTTTTGTGATTCCGTTCCAGTTTTAGAATCTGTTTTAGAATTGTTTACACTCAGTTAGCAATCTATACTAAAAGTAAATAACTCTAAAACGTCAATTTAAAACAAAATTAAGACTTTAGATTAATATTTACTTTAAGAGTTTTCTAGTTCAAACATGAACCGCTAGAGGCTACTAAAGTTAGTTATAGTATTTGAATGCTCTCTACATGATCATGAAAACTGTATATTGCTGTTGTTGTTCAGTTACGTCGCGCAGGAGCTGCACAATGGGCTATTGGCGATGGTCTGGGAAACATCCCTGAAGGTGATCCGAAAACATACCATCACAATTTTGATCCTCTGCAGAGGGGATGGCACCCCCGCTTCGGTAGTCCGACGACCTGCACGCGAAGTCGAGCTCTTTACGGTAGAACAGTTTAACTAGGACCAATACCGCACACCCTCGGTCCCTACGCAGACTGATCCAAGGGGCACCCGCACACTGACCGTAGCCAGTGATGCTTGACTTCGGTGATCTGCTGGGAACCGTGTCTTAACGATCAGTCCACTGCGGGACTGAAAGCTGTATAAATAACACTAAGGATATTTAATTATTTAGTTTAAGTACAATACCCAAGGTACATAAACCAATGGTTATTTCTTTTTAATCAAATCTTGAAGACACTTTGAAAACAATATCTATTTGTTTTTAATGGTTAATATTTTTTAAAATATCTACCCTCAATGCCTTCTTAAACATAATTTACGTATATTTTAATTTCCATCCATCACTTAACACCCTCTCACAAGGTGTTGTTATTGTTTATTTACGTCACGCTACAGCTGCACATGGGCTATTGGCGACGGTCTGGGAAACATCCCTCAGGATGGTCCGAAGACATGCCATCACAATTTTGATCCTCTGTAGAGAGCATGGCTCCCCGATTACGTAGCCCAACGACCTGAGCGCGAGGTATAGCATTCTACAGTAAAACAGTTAAATGAGATCAATACCGCACACCATCGGTTTCTTCGTAGCCTGATCAAAGTGATCACCCTCCCGCCCACTGACGGCAGTCAGTGATGCTCGACTTCTACGTTCTACTGAGAACAGTGTCGTTACAATATGTCCCCTACGGTACTAATGAATGTAGCGAAAAATATTTCATGTAAATCTCTAAAGAGAAAAGATTTTTAAAAAAAATTATCAACAATAAAAAAAGTTTAGCTACTCCAGCATTCATCACTTAGTCAGTCCATTGAGAGACCATTCAAAAGTGCAATAAGTGACTCAAAATCACATTCGAAAACTGCCCCCTCCCCCAAAAGTATCTATCTATCTATATTATATAAAACGCTAATACGTACGTATGTATGTATGTATGTATCAATAAAACCGATGATATTTCTTTTCTCGCGCTGGCAACAGTTTTAATTTTTAATTGATTGGATTCGGCGCGCAAGAGCACGTAGTGAGCAACCAGATAACAATAACCAGAGTGAGCATTATCAGGTTGTTCAATTCAGATTCATGCACTAAAAACATGACAATATTTAATTTAAACTCAATTAGGAATTAATTAATTAATTGAAGTGAGAATGCTTTAAAAGGCCGCTGTTGAATTGATATTTTTCTACTGNNNGCTATTGGCGACAGTCTGGAAAACATCCCTGAGGATGATCCGACGACATGCCATCACAATTTTGATCCTTTGCGGAAGGGATGGCACCCCCGCTTCGGTAGCCCGACGACTTGCACGCGAAGTCGAGCACTTTACGGTAGCATTGTTTAACAAGGACCAATACCGCACACCCTCGGTCCCTAAGCAGGCTGATCCAAGTGGTCACCCACCCGCACACTGACCGTAGCCAGTGATGCTTGACTTCGGTGATCTGCTGGGAACCGTGTCTTAATGATCAGTCCAATGCGGGACTGAAAACTGTATAAATAACACTAAATCGAAGGATATTTAATTATTTACTTTAAGTACAATACCCAAGGTACATAAACCAATGGTTATTTCTTTTTAATCAAATCTTGAAGACACTTTGAAAACAATATCTATTTGTTTTAATGGTTAATATTAAAACATCTACCCTAAATGCCTTTAAAACATAATTTACGTATATTTTAATTTCCATCCATCACTTAACACCCTCTCAAAAGGTGTTGTTATTGTTTATTTACGTCACGTTACAGCTGCAAAATGGGCTATTGGCGACGGTCTGGGAAACATCCCTCAGGATGTTCCGTAGACATGCCATCACAATTTTGATCCTCTGTAGAGAGCATGGCTCCCCGCTTCAGTAGCCCAACGACCTGTGCGCGAAGTAGAGCATTTTACAGTAAAAGAGTTAAGTGAGACCAATACCGAACACCATCGGTTTCTTCGTAGCCTGATCAAAGTGGTCACCCTCCCGCCCACTGACGGCAGTCAGTGATGCTCGACTTCTGTGTTCTACAGAGAACAGTGTCGTTACAATATTTCCCCTACGGTACTAATGAATGTAGCGAAAAATATTTCATGCAAATCTCTAAAGAAAAAAGATTTTTAAAAAAATTTATCAATAATAAAAAAAGTTTAGCTACTTCAGCATTCATTACTTAGTCAGTACATTGAGAGACCATTCAAAAGTGCAATAAGTGACTCAAAGTCACATTCGAAAACTGCCCCCCCCCCTCCCCCAAAAGTATTATATTTTAAAACTCCTTGCAAAAATGGTCCCGCAGTGAACTGATAGCAAAGACACTGTTCCCAGTAGAACACCGAAGTCAAGCATCACTGGCTGCGGTCAGTAAGTGGGTGGGTGACCACTTTGAGTTGCCTGCGTAGGGAATGAGGGTGCTCGGTATCGGTCCTCGTTAATCTGCTCTACCGTAAAGTGCTTGAGTTCGTACGATGGTCGTCCAAAGCAGGGGAGCCATCCC